TTTTTTTTACTTACTTTCACCTCAAAACACAAACAAAAATTAACCGTCGCATATATGCGACGTTTGGTCTATTTCAAGAAAACTATTATAATTTTCACTATTGTCTTCGCTGTAGACCGGGCGTCGCAAATATGCGACATTACTAAAGGTTATAAAAAAAAAAACGAGAATAAATTATTTACAAACACGATTGTAGCGTATTACAATGTAAATGATCACTGTTTTACAGGTTTTCGCCCGTGGTCTGTGTGTACTGTTATCCAAGGGACAGCCCAAGGCCCCACTAGAAAAAAGGCCATGCTGCAGCACGGGCAGCGCAACACTACGTCACAGTGGTGGATAGTTGTACTAAACTCTTACCATTAAAATCTTACAGACAGCTTGTTTATTTACCTAATACATATGGGAATGGTGATTGCAATGCATTTATCAATGATATCTATCCACTAGTGTGACGTCATGGATCCTGCAGCATGGCCTGTTTTTCTAGCGGGTCTTGGACAGCCGGTCTATATGTAAGATTCAAAAGTATACCTCGGTCTGTGGCAATGGCAATGACCGCGGCGTCGCATACATGCGGCGCTCAGTAGTGAACGTGTTTATGAATCGTCACACCTATCCTTTATATTAATTTCACTGCATCAATTAATTGCTAAATAAATAAGTGTAAGCAAAGAAAAGTAAAAACAATAACATATAGTTTGTTTTGAAACAGCTGTTTGGTTAAAATAACATTCATTTGAAAAAAAAAAGAACCGGTCACACGTTTAAGGAATTTAAAAAGTAAACACGCTAGTAAAGCTAGTGACGTAATTGTCTATGTTTATTATCCATACCATTATCAGTTCTAATATCCTTGATAATTACCCACCCTCATTCATTGAATCAATGTACATCGTAATTTCCCATATTCGTTTATTTAAACTATAATCTATTTATGGTTGAAATAAAAGTGATATTTTGCCTAAATCTGCGCCCCCAAACGTAACCACAACTAAAGACACGCCAGACAACATTTTTTTAGATTTCATAAAAGGATGGTTTGTCTAATTGCAGTCTCCTAGGTCAATGCTGACGTTTTGTTCAATCTATGATATCCATAGTTTTATCTTCGGATAAAACCCGGCTGAGGTTGTGGTGGTAATTTAAAATCGTGATTCCTGATTATTCTTGATCTCCTTTTTTATGACATCAATATTTTCGGGCCTAATCCAAACAAATAGTAAGCAGAGCAGACTAACATTAATTGTAAACAAAAAGCTACCAAGACGAATTTATACATGTAAATATTTTTTTTTTCCAACTCTTTCCTAAAAAAGTTGAGCAGTAAAATGATTTGCATATCCTTTTCTTTTTAAGACTGTGTACAGAGCCTCGATTTGTATACAGCAATGGTTTTACTTATCTCTTTGGTCTAGTTATATCTACTAATCTTATAAATTGGTTTAAATACCTGCTTCTAGTAATCCAATAGTCGCAATTTCTGTCACGCAACTAGGGAAAAGGTACATTTACAACGATAATAATACTAATTAATGGTAACTTGAGGATGATGCGTCACGACCGGGTGAATGTAGCAATCTTAGAAGCAGGTATTTAAACCAATTTATATATTCAACGTAATCCGGAGGCTAACATAAAAAATTATACTAATCTTACTTATTTCCTATAATCAATGACAAAATCAGAGTAAATAAAATAACCTAATAGTTCTATAGAATATTTTTATATTTAACCAGATGTTAGTTAAAACAAATTATATTGTACTTAAACAAATCAAAGATTGCTCTACAAAATAATTTGAACATCCTAGTATTTTACTATGTTTAACACTACACTATGTACTATGTCTGTGTTGTTTTATTAATCTGTCATCCTCTTACCGAAGAATTGAACTTATCAATGATCAGCATTACACATAGTATAAATAAGTCAACCCTTAGTATGTCTTTTCATTTTTATCCAAATGCTGAATTTGTGTCACAAACGCTGAATGTTTACAGCTGTTATGTTAAGCAAATTGTATCATACCAAACGCTACTTTAGAATGTTGCCATCGGCGGCTAGACTTTAAAAAAATTAAAAATTGATTTCTAAAAAACTGGGACCCTAAACTAAAATTATGGCTTCGACATTCCCTAGTTCTCAAAATTATCTTTCTTTCAACACAAAAATCAGGAAAATCCGTCAAGTGGTTGATTCAAAATCGTGAAAAAAATCCTGTCACGTTTAATGTTATTAATAGATAATTTATTTTATTTATTTAATTTATTTTGTTTATTTTATTTATTTTCTTGATTTTCTTTATTTTATTTATTTTATTTTATTTTCCAATGTTACAAAACAGCACATGCCAATTATTCTGTAGCATTAATCATATAAAAATAACTTTAAAAGAGTATTAATATATAAATAAATAAAGCAAGGGGAAAAAGTCCGTCTTCTATGGTGGCATTCATATAACACTTTCACTGAAAATATAAATATAAATAGAAGAATATAAAATATAAATAAGAATGACAATATAAAATTTAAATATACAGTAACAAGAGAATTTAAATACTAAATACAAATAATACTGATGGTCATGAATCAAATATAATAAATATGCAATAAATATAACACTGTATAGTAAATAAATAGGCAATATTTAGACAAACTATTACTTAACGTCGATAAGAAATTTTGAATTCATTTGACAAACAGACATTTAACATTTTTAGTGATAAGTAAAATATATCAAACTGATATGCATTTCAAGTGCGAGACATTATATTTAATGGAGAATTGAATCCAAGATTGGTACGAGAGTAACGAGGGGTAAATACAAGAGTGCTGCGTGAATTGTGTCGTGGAACGTGAAAATTGATTTGTCCCAGCAAGTCACTATCGTCCAGACAACCGCTCACCAGTTTATGGAGATAAGATAAGGCGGCCAACTTCCTTCTGTCACTGAGACTAGTCGTATCAAACATGGTCAAGAGCTGGTGGTATGAAATGTTGAACGACCAAATGTTTCAAAATACATAAATCTTAAAAATCTTTTTTGAATCGCCTCCATCATGTCTACAAGATAAAGCTGATGAGGATACCATACAACTGATGCATATTCTAATCGCGAGCGCACCAATGAACAAATAATTTTACTGAGTTTAAATTTCTTAAAAAGCTGCAAGAACTATGAATGGGACTAATAGTAACTCTTTACTCTGTACAGGATGATACCGCTGGGATAGAGATGGCCGCAGTGAGGGCGAGGGCCGGACACGGAGGGTCTGGAGAAGAAATGAGAGAAACTGGAGGGTTGAGACTAATAGTAACTCTTCACTCTGTCTAGGATGATGCCGCTGGGATAGAGATGGCCGCAGTGAGGGTGAGGGCCGAACACGGAGGGTCTGGAGAAGAGATAAGAGAAACTAGAGGGATGGGACTTATAGTAACTCTTTACTCTGTACAGGATTTATCGGCTGGGATAAAGATGGCTGAAGTTACGGCCAGGGCCGGACACGGAGGGTCTGGAGAAGAGATAAGAGAAACTGGGGGGTTGAGACTAATAGTAACTCTTCACTCTGTCTAGGATGATGCCGCTGGGATAGAGATGGCCGCAGTGAGGGCGAGGGCCGGACACGGAGGGTCTGGAGAAGAGATAAGAGAAACTGGAGGGTTGAGACTAATAGTAACTCTTCACTCTGTCTAGGATGATGCCGCTGGGATAGAGATGGCCGCAGTGAGGGTGAGGGCCGGACACGGAGGGTCTGGAGAAGAGATAAGAGAAACTGGAGGGTTGAGACTAATAGTAACTCTTCACTCTGTCTAGGATGATGCCGCTGGGACAGAGATGGCCGCAGTGAGGGCGAGGGCCGGACACGGAGGGTCTAAAGAAGAGATAAGAGAAACTGGAGGGTTGAGACTAATAGTAACTCTTCACTCTGTCTAGGATGATGCCGCTGGGATAGAGATGGCCGCAGTGAGGGTGAGGGCCGGACACGGGTCTGGAGAAGAGATAAGAGAAACTGGAGGGTTGAGACTAATAGTAACTCTTCACTCTGTCTAGGATGATGCCGCTGGGATAGAGATGGCCGCAGTGAGGGCGAGGGCCGGACACGGAGGGTCTGGAGAAGAGATAAGAGAAACTGGAGGGTTGAGACTAATAGTAACTCTTCACTCTGTCTAGGATGATGCCGCTGGGATAGAGATGGCCGCAGTGAGGGTGAGGGCCGGACACGGGTCTGGAGAAGAGATAAGAGAAACTGGAGGGTTGAGACTAATAGTAACTCTTCACTCTGTCTAGGATGATGCCGCTGGGATAGAGATGGCCGCAGTGAGGGCGAGGGCCGGACACGGGTCTGGAGAAGAGATAAGAGAAACTGGAGGGTTGAGACTAATAGTAACTCTTCACTCTGTCTAGGATGATGCCGCTGGGATAGAGATGGCCGCAGTGAGGGTGAGGGCCGGACACGGGTCTGGAGAAGAGATAAGAGAAACTGGAGGGTTGAGACTAATAGTAACTCTCCACTCTGTCTAGGATGATGCCGCTGGGATAGAGATGGCCGCAGTGAGGGTGAGGACCGGACACGGGTCTGGAGAAGAGATAAGAGAAACTGGAGGGTTGAGACTAATAGTAACTCTTCACTCTGTCTAGGATGATGCCGCTGGGATAGAGATGGCCGCAGTGAGGGTGAGGGCCGGACACGGGTCTGGAGAAGAGATAAGAGAAACTGGAGGGTTGAGACTAATAGTAACTCTTCACTCTGTCTAGGATGATGCCGCTGGGATAGAGATGGCCGCAGTGAGGGTGAGGGCCGGACACGGGTCTGGAGAAGAGATAAGAGAAACTGGGGGGTTGAGACTAATAGTAACTCTTCACTCTGTCTAGAATGATGCCGCTGGGATAGAGATGGCTGCAGTGAGGGTGAGGGCCGGACACGGAGGGTCTGGAGAAGAGATAAGAGAAACTGGAGGGTTGAGACTAATAGTAACTCTTCACTCTGTCTAGGATGATGCCGCTGGGATAGAGATGGCCGCAGTGAGGGCGAGGGCCGGACACGGAGGGTCTAAAGAAGAGATCAGAGAGACATGGTCAGGCAAGGTGGACTTCCTCCTCTCAGTCATCGGGTTTGCCGTGGATTTGGCAAACGTGTGGAGGTTTCCCTACCTGTGCTACAAGAACGGCGGAGGTTAGTTTCTAAATAAGAAAACTACAGAATTCTGTGAAAAGTTAAAAGAATAAAGTATCCAACAATATATTCTTAATATTTAATCATATAATCTTTATTTTTCCCCGAGAATGGTTAATATTATTCTTCAATATAGTTGGTTTTCAAATAATTACAGTTTGTTTACCATTCAAACAATATATTATTGATTGTATTATACAAATTGATAACCATATATACTCCCGTTCTAATTTAAATGAGAGGTAATTCTCATTGATCCTCTTGGTAGTTTTTAACGGTGAGCTGGAATGTAACAGAATGTTAACCTGGAATGTTAACACCTATTGGAATGTAAACCATTGAAACTTCCTGGCCGGTATATGAACAACATATTTTTAATTGACTTAAATTGTATAGTTAAATCGTTAACATTGAACTGCCTCTTGTCCTAACGCTCTTTTCCTCCTTATGACTTGTTAGTTAATATGATTCCTGGTCACAGTAAGATAGCTACCGTATTGTCGATATCACCATTAAAAGGCAATCTGGCGCCTAACTGAGTTATCTGCCGAGGGCTAATTATTTTGACAGCGACACCTTCGTCTTCTGCACCCTTTCGTCACTTAATCGCATTCTAGCTAGAATTACAGTTTATATACTGTATCTTGTCAGAAATCTAGCTAGATGTCACTTTACAAACTAAAACTTTGAATGGTGTTGTCATGAATATCAATTTGTATTTCACTATCTTATTAAATGTTTTGTTGGATCTAAAATGCCAGAAGATGTATTTTTTACTGCAAAAATAGCTCAGCACAAAAATAGGTTTAACACCTTTCTCTTACCGCCCTCCATATTTTTATGAATAGTTCATTAAAACGCTTAAGTATAATGCGAGTCTTGTATTACCACTGATTTGTCTTCTAAACATATAAAAGTCAAAGCCCTCACTCACTCACTAAATCATCACTAATTATCCAACTTCCAGACTAGCTAGAAGGCTGAAATTTGTAAACTGATTCTTTAGGCATTAAAAAGGAAACTAAAGGTCCATTTCCTATCCTGTGACTGTTACGACTCTAGCCGCGCGGCTCTAGCCGCGCGTCTAGAGCCGTACGGCTGGAGACGCTTGTCTTATTTCCTATGCCGCGACTCCTGCGACTCCCACGTCTATTGTGACTAGTGCAGTTGCACCTTGACCGTCATGGAAGAAGCTTTATTCTTGTAACTAAATAAACAAATATTAAACGGGACTATGTTTTATCTATGATTAAACTTCAATCATCAATCAATCAATCAATCAATCATTAAGATGGGGACGCCACTTAGGTGCGTATTTTAACCCAAATATGAGTGAAGGATGAGTGTAGAATGGTGTGAGATGATCTGTGTAGCTTTGTTACTGACTAAGATCAGCTGTTTCATTAGCCAGGATCATTTATTTAAAGCCCAATGATCAGGAACAGCTGGGTCCAGTTTCGAACCATCAAAAAGCTACTGACTTTTCTCAGGATCGAACCGGCGACCTTTTGATTAGCAGGCGAGCACTATAACCACTCGGCTACCCAGCCAGTACACTTACTTGGTACATAAGTTTATTTGGAAATCTGTCTCCAGACGTTTTCTCGCACATATGCATCCTTGTATTGGGGGTGTTTGGGGTTAAAAACAGATGGGGTGTTGACAAACAAGTTCAATTAACCTTGAATCATCCATGATTTTGAAGGCACACTCTTGAAACTCGGTATTAACTATCAAAAACCACACAATCAAAGAACTCAGTATACTATCAAATCGCACCTCAACTCCGTATGTATGAACTATTTCGTTACAGCCGCGCGACTGAGCGACTGAACTGCTCACGGAGCAGTCCAGTCGCGACGGCTCGAGCCGCGTGGCTCGAGTCGCTTCAGTCGCGCGGCATGCATTTACTTTGCATTAAAGCAGTCAATTTTTTCAGCCGCGCGGCTCGAGCCGCGCGACTAGAGTCGTAACAGTCGCAGGATAGGAAATGGACCTTAAGTAGTTTTTATTCTTATCTAGCTTTCGGGCACCACCCCAGTGGATACTTATAAGGAGCTAACTGTCACCCGCGGACTTCGCCCCGTTTGACTTCATAAGTATTAATAAAACTATTGATTGTCGGGTTGGGCGGCATTTCGAGTGGCTTTTCATGGTTACTTCGAAAAGCAACATTCGACTTAATCAGGGCAGATCCGTAGGAGAGTATTAAAATAAAATATATTTCTCAACATTTAGCCTACATAGTTATATTTCCAATGACATTTTTAGAATCTTTATTACATTTTCTATTAGAAAACGTATAGTATGGTACAGCTAAACCCATTTAAAAGTTTGTAAATTCGACTTCAATAATAAATTTCATTTGTGATAAAGATCATTTGTGATTTAAATTATTCCTACCGAACAAATTTTCAAATACAAGGTAGGCCTAATATTTGTTATTGGAAACATACAAAAATCATGGATAAGCTGAACCTTAAGAATCTTAAATACAGGTTATGTCTGATGCATGTTCTTGATGCATATACCGCACACGTAAATTATTTTACAAATAATTTATTTAATGGGACATATATTTATTCGACAAACTTAATTGACAAACCTATCTAGGTTTTTGCAACACACCCTAACTGCAGTCTTGGATCACTTAGATTTTGATCAAACTTAAATAGAAAGTATATAATTTTAAAATAGCACTCCTCTTCTTTAAACATGAGGTAAGAGACTTAGTCATCTGGATTTTTTGGACGACACAGACCCTTTATACCCTTATGTACCTTTATAACCTTATGTATTAATATAGTTTTGTTGCTTTATACCAAACAACAAGAATGCCGTGGATGAATGTTCAAGAACAACGTCCATTTGAGAGAAACAAGCTGTAATAAACAAAAGTAAAATACCCCCGCCGCAGCAAACCTGCAGACTTAGCGAATTTCCATTTGCCTGATTGGATTTAAACTAAAATGTCTCCTTAAAAATATCACATTTATTCCCAATTTAAACAGAATTAGTTTAATGAGTACTTAGGTTTGCTGCAACAGGGAGGGTAAAAAAGTTTTTTTTATGTAAAATATTAAAAGGTACTGTGGTTTAGTAAGAAATTAATGTATTTTCCAAATTTGATCAAAATATATTCATAAACAAGCAAACAACAACAGTTGACTTATTCTCCATAAGAATAACATGGGAATTTTAAAATTACAATATTTTGAATTTTCTCCGTAACAATTAGGCGCATAATAACGCTTCAATATACTAAATTATTTGTTTTTTTAAGCTCTACAAAATGGTTTATAAAGAAATTGTGAAATTTTGTGTTTTTAGGGTCAAAAATGGGAAAAACCTATTTTTACCCCATAAAACCCCCCATAAACCCCCGTTCCCATAGTCCGATCATGCTGGTTCGCGAACTCATTTAAGTTTATCCCGCCTTACACCTTCAAACCAAATTTTATCAAAATCGGACAAAAATTACTCAAGTTATCGTGCGGATGGACACACACACACACACACATATATATATATATATATATATATATATATAAAAATTTGAACGAATGGTGTTTTTGGCCTCTGGGGACATCAAAATGAAAAAGTAAATCGGTCCTGGGCTTAGGTCTTACCATGAGACCTACGGTAATAGCTACTTCCCTATAGGGAAATTCGCTAAAACAACAAAATATTAACAACAATACATGTAACTCTCAAAAACTTTAAATCATTTTGTTATCCATCTAGCCTACTAACTTACAGTAATTTCTTTAATAATAAAAAAAATTAGTGAAAGAATTTAATAAATCTAACCTTAAACAAATTACCATTTTTAAGATAATCCTTTTTAAGCATTAAGTCAAGTTTTGGTAACAATTTAATAAACTTTTTAGGGGCCCCCTATTTGAAAAAATGAGTTATTAATTGTCGTCACTGTTTTAGCGAGTCGGACTGTAAAGGCACTGTCCACCTATGAAACACAAATGAAAAAATGTTATAATAAAATCATGAGGCAATCTGGGTTTTAGTCGGAGTCTCTGAATTTCAGAAGGTTGACCTGAGTTATAAAATCTAATGCTGCTGGTTAATGGAAGTAAGGTAATTTTATTGATGAAATATTCTATTTTCTCCATTTAAACAATGCTAATACTCCTTTTTCATTGTTTAAATGGAGAAAATTGGTCATACATTACGAAAATAACACATTTTTCTGTTATTATTTATCTAATCTTGACAAATAAGGTATCATTAAAAACTACATAACATTTACAAACTTGTTTTCCCTTGCAATTCTTTTGTTAAGTTAACGATTTTCGTGAAATTTGCCATCAAATATTTTAAATGGCCACCATTTTCAAACGGTTAAAGATTTTTTAGTATAATTTATAACAATAATAGGTCTTAATAAGTTTTGCAAAATATCAACCTATTTTTGCTGTATCTCAAACCGTTTAAGAGTTATTTGTTTTTTGATTGTTTTTTTTTAACACATAAATACAGACAGACGGAAAACTAGGCACCACTACCTAGTTCCTATCGTGAAATGTGTTTGTCTTCACCTAAGGAATAACGCTATATACATATGTCCAGAGAGTTACGGGTCACCCTGTATATATTCTTTTTAGCGTTCTCTTCCTGTTGCGAAGTAGTAAAAAGAGAACTAACTGCTACTGGCAAATTCAGTTCAAGGGTATGCCAAATTATTATAAGTTAAAGGAGATACACCAGGAATGGGATTTTTGTGAAAATCATTCTGTAGGTTGTTCCAGAGGTAATTTGAAGCTCCTGGTAAAAGGACAGTCTGACAGTAAATTAATGCAAAAGGCAATTTCAGCCTTCAGCAGGCTCTTAGTAGTATCCAAACACAAAATTAAATCAGGCAAAGCCGACGGGTAACAGCTAGTTATTGATATAAATAGCAGTAAAATGGTTTCACACTCTTGATGTTGCCAATTAAATTTTAAAATGCGTAAAGACATTATTATGCCAAACAAAATCAAATA